AAAGGGACTGCATGTGTAAATCTTTATAAAGGGACTGCATGTGTCAACCTTTATAAAGGGACTGCATGTGTAAACCTTTATAAAGGGACTGCGTGTGTCAACCTTTATAAAGGGACAGCGTGTGTCAACCTTTATAAAGGGACTGCATGTGTAAACCTTTATAAAGGGACTGCGTGTGTCAACCTTTATAAAGGGACTGCGTGTGCACACCTTTTAAAAGGGACTTCATGTGTCAAGCTCTATAAAGGGACTGCGTGTGTCAACCTTTATAAAGGGACTGCGTGTGTAAACCTTTAGAAAGCATCCAAAGTTCTATTTTTTTTTCAAATTCCTGTTCAATTATTCAAAACATGTACTGTGAGAGCCTGGATTTATCAAGTTTTATCCCAACCAATCCTTGCCATCAAAACTTTGATCATTATTATTCCAAACGTCCCCCTGCTGTCCCTAATACATTGATACATTTTATACAAACTTGAAAACTAGGGATATAATGGGATACATTGTAAACTCACATATTTAGAAGGAATAATACAAAATGAACTGATGTGAAGTGCCTCAAACTCTAATTTTAAAAGCCAAATAACTTTTTAACCTATGACTTTTTAGACCTTAGATTTTTTAAACTGTACATTTTACCATATCTATCTGCAAATGGTCAAATTTTGAAAGGTTTACATCATCAGTTTGTAAAGCTATAAGAAACAAAGAAGACAATTGAACGAGATAACAAAGACGAATTGCTCATTAACCCTATCACGGTTGTTGGGGGGGGGGGGGTTCCCACGTGTATTTGTTTTACATACAGTGTGTCCCACGGAACATGACAGTTGGTGAATAGTTTGAAATGTCTTCTTCCATGATTTTTAAGTTGTTTGATAGTAAAGGGACTATTTAAAATTAGTATATGACAGCCGTATTATAGTAAGATTGTTTCGCGGGCTGATCTACTCGCTTAAACTATCCTAGTGTATCGAACCTTGTCATGATCTGCTATAGCGGTGATCGCAACCATCATTATATATTTCTCAGACTCTCTTGGACAAAACTTCTTTTAGGGTCTCTCCTCGACAGTAACAGTGCTCTGGATAATGACAAACGGGTTCAATCGGAGCAGATTGCCCATATTAGTTTTACTTTATAAACAAATGAAAAGAGATGCATACAAAATTGAATAAATGGAATAATATACAAAGTTTGTAACTACGAGAAAAAAATTTTTGAAGCTCATGATATAAGAAAAATGCGTAAATCTTCAATAGCTCAAAATTCGGTAATTTCCTAGAGAATGATTTTTGGGATAATAATAGAAGCAACCCTGATTTTTTTCAGGCTCCTCTGGGATATCGTAGTTTTCAGATTGTTTGCGTATTTGCTGAATATGATTTGTTTAAAATTTAGATTATTATACCAAATCTGTTAAATATAGTTCTTGTTATTAATTTTTACATAGTTTTATATCAATTTCTCTAGACATGAGCATCAGATAGAACTCATATAGGTCTCGATCAACTCCTGAAATGCTCAGGTTTCAGCCTTTACTCCCTTTTAGTTAACCTTTACAGTTCCTTTAATGAGCCTTGACAAGTTGGACGAAGGACATTTATCACTTCACTCTCTCAACTTTAAGGGCAAAATTATATGGGAGGTGGAACCCCCCCCCCCCCCACTCTTTATTAGTCAAAAATGGCCTAATCGGGATAGGGTTAATAAAGTCCGGGAGGTTTAATAATGGATTTTATTTAAAGATATCATTCTTCATTATAACTGTGCATAAAATGCTAGCAATAAAGGGTAAGGCTGAAAGGCTGGGATTGGGATGAAAGGTTTGGATGACAGGTGGGATAAAAGGTTTCGATGACAGGTGGGATGAAAGATGGAGAAGAAAGGTTGGGAGGACAGGTTGGAATGAAAGGTGAGGATGAACGTTAAGGATAAATGCTCAGGTTTCAGCCTTTACTCCCTTTTAGTTTACCTTTACAGTTCCTTTAATGAGCCTTGACAAGTTGGACGAAGGACATATATCACTTCACTCTCTCAACATTAAGGGCAAAATTATAAGGGAGGTGGAACCCCCAACTCTTTATTAGTCAAAAATAGCCCAATCGGAAAAGGGTTAAGACAGTTTTACGAACATAGTTGATAATGTTTTATTTTGATGTATCGATGATTTTTGGTCAGTGAAATTTCGGTTTTAGGTTAGATCCCCAGCGCAACTTCCCCAGTCACAACTTCCCCGAGACATCTTCCCCAACAGTAATTTCCCCTACAACCAATTTCCCCAACACTAACTTCCCCAGTCACTAATTTCCCCAACAGCAATTTCCCGAACACTAACTTCCCAAGTCACTAATTTCCCTAACAGCAATTTCCCCAACACTAACTTCCCCAGTCACTAATTTCCCCAACAGCAACTTCCCCAACACTAACTTCCCCAGTCACTAATTTCCCCAACAGCAACTTCCCCAACAACAATTTCCCCATGCAGTAAAACAGCAACTTCCCCAACACCAATTTCCCCATGCAGTAAAATATCAAATATTTCCGTTTTGAACATTATTCCAATGAACAAATGCGCAATTTTAAAACAAAAAAATTCTCAACTTTTTGAATGTGAAAAAATCCGTTGGATTAGAGTCGACAATGTTGGCAGTTTATAGTACACTGTCCTCGAAGAAGAGAAATGTTCTGGTGGATCCCATGCAATAAGTATGAGTACTTAATTTACAATAAATGTCAAGGGACAAATCTAAATAATTCTGGAACTGTGGAGAAAAGGAAACATTCAAAATGTGTAGCAACAGCCGTTGTGAAGTGAAGTTGCTGTTGGGGAAGTTAAGAATTTTACTGCATGGGGAAATTGGTGTTGGGGAAGTTGCTGTTGGGGAAGTTGGTGTTGGGGAAGTTAGTGTTGGGGAAATTAGCGGTTGGGGAAGTTGCTGTTGGGGAAGTTGTGACTGGGGAAATTATGTTGGGGAGGTTGGGCTCGGGAAATGACCTAACACCGAAATTTCGAGAATTTTAGTCGTAACTCGCCGTTACGAAAATGTGGCAAATTCAATAGACTTGGTCTACTTAAAATGGCGAAATAAAAATCTTTTTCGTATACATGCGTATTGAGTAACAACGGTAGAGGTGGGGAGGGGGGGGGGGGAGTTAACAACAGGTATTATACAGTTCGGTCAATTTCTTATCTCTCTAAAATTTAGAAGTTTATCTTACTTAGTTATAGACTGGACATACATAATAAAATAATAGACGCAACTTTTTAAAATCAAATATTACATTCAAATGAGAGACTCAATTTTTTTGATTAAGTATTTACAGTGGTGGACAGAATAATATAGAATAGTGTCTGTCTACGTTGTTACTTTTAAGTTTAAAATTTCATTAAGAATTTTGCAATAAGATCAAATAGACATTGTGATAACTAATAATACAGTGATAACCAGAAAACAATGGAATAGAAAGACGACATTATCGCAATACTGAAGTGTAATTGATGTTGCTTCAAAGTAAATGGTTTCACTTGACACTTATTACATCTCTAACTTAGTAAGATGGGTGTGTTACCACCCTTCTGTGTCTTGCTCATGCTCTTGGTATTTTTTTAACTTGTTTTAAAAAGTCGTCTTCCTATTTCAAAGTTTTCTGGTTATCACTATAAATATCGGAAAATGTTTACTGGTTAGAACAGATTGTTTGAATAAATTATTTACAAAGAACAGCATTTGCTACAACTTTTAATATACATACAAAGAAAGAAAAAGAGCAAAATCATAAATCCGTATTACGTCACAAGAAATCCCACCAATGGTAGTGCAGAATAGTGGTCACGTGTCTCAGTCTGCATCACGTGACAAGTACTGCACTCTGCTTTTTTGTTCCCGCAGTATTTTATTTCATTGGGGTTACAAGTACAAAAGTCAGAAAGACATAATAATGCTATTAATAGTTTGACATCCAACATTTTTTCATAGAATTAAAAAAAGTAATAACTTTAAATCCATATTTATTATTGATACGTACTTTAATGAAGCCGAAAACAAAAATGCAAACTTTTCAAGTTCTGCTAAAAATAAGAGTGGGAGGTTTAATAATGGATTTATCTTAAAGATATATATTATTCTCCAATTAAATGCAACCCATTCAAGTTCTGTTGAAAATAAGAGTGGGATGTTTAATAATGGATTTTATTTAATGATATTATTCTTCATGATAACTGTGCATAAAATGCTAGCAATAAAGGGTAATGATGAAAGGCTGCGATAATGGTTAAGGATGAAAGGTTGGGATGAAAAGTTAAGATGAAAGGTTGGGATGACAGTGGGATGAAAGGTCAGGATGAACGTTTAGGATAAAAGATTGGGATGACAGGTTGGAATGAGAGGTTGGAATGAGAGTTTGGGATGCCAGGTTGGAATGAGAGGTTGGGATGAGAGGTAATGAGGAGAGGTCGGGAAGAAAAGTGTGGATGAGAGGCAAGGAGGAAAGGTTAGGAAGAAAAGTGTAGATGAGAGGTAAGGAGGAAAAGTTGTGAAGAAAAGAGTGAATGATAGGTAAGGAGGAGAGGTTGGAAAGAAAAGATTGAATGATAGGTAAGAAGGAAAGGTTGGGAAGAAAAGTGTGAATGAGAGGTAAGGAGGCAAGGTTGGGAAGAAAAGTGTGAATGAGAGGTAAGGAGGAAAGGTTTGGAAGAAAAGTGTGGATGAGAGGTAAGGAGGAAAGGTTAAGAAGAAAAGTGTGGATGAGAGGTAAGGAGGAAAGGTTGGGAAGAAAAGTGTGAATGAGAGGTAAGGAGGAAAGGAAGATGACTTTCGATTTCAATTTTGATTTACATAAAGCTACCAAACAGCATGGATACACAGAAGCTGTCAATTAAAAAAAGATCTTTTTGATTACTTATAAACTTGTAATATGAAAAAAGCTTGTTAACAATCAAAACTTTTAAAAAAGTCGTTTTCATTGTGTTGATATAATCCCTTACCACTGAATGAAAAATTGTAATTGAGACTATGCCAGTTTTTGCTAAAACTTGAATACAAAATTTGAAGAAAAAATGTTTCTCTCTTCTTGGATTGTTTATCTCATAAAGGTAAGTTTCCAAGGGAATTTCTTGGTAATATTTCTGAATAATACATTCTGAAAAAGCGTCCAAAGTTCGACATAAAACAACCTCCCGCGTAAAAACAATTGGTCTAAAGGCATAGAGTAATTACTCTATGGCTAAAGGATATGCACCCTCCCTCCCCACCCCAAAAAAAATGTAAAGTAAAAAAATTGGGTAATTTTGAGCATCCATAAACCTTTCTTGGGGTCATGTGAGGTCTGACAAAACATTTGGGCAAGATTTCAGGTTCAGCCGTTTTGACGTTTATTATATGTAAGCATACAGACATACAAGCAAAGTGTATGTATAGATAATGATAAAGATATAGTTATTCCGCGGATTTGCTTTTAGATTAAAATATTTTTCATATAATTTATTTAGACTAGAATCTTGTTCATGGTCAATGATGGAAATGATGATAAGGTATATAAATATATTATATATATAAATATGTTAATATAGAAAACTTTTTAAATCATCAATCATTTCATCGTTTATTCTTTATGTCATCCTATTACTTATTAATCCTTTTTGTCATCCTATTATTTATTAATCCTTTATATCATCCTCTTATTTATCAAACCTTTCTGTCATCCTCTTATTTATTCATCCTTTTTGTCATCCTCTTATTTATTAAACCATTTTATCAACCTCTTATTTATTAATTCTTTCTGACATCCTCTTATTTATTAAACCTTTCTGTCATCCTCTTATTTATTAAACCTTTCTGACATCCTCTTATTTATTAAACCTTTCTGTCATCCTATCATTCATCCTTCCAAGTTATTCATCCTACAATCATGTAATCCTGTTATTCATGGACCAAGCATGTCATCCTTCCTAAGTTCAATCTAACATAAATTATCCAGATTAAAATCATTCAACAATTTATAGTGTCATGTTTACTAATCTTTAAAAGTCAGGGTTTATAGTATATATATTCATAATGGAAGAGACTTTTACAATAACCTAAAAAATAAAAAAAATTACGTTCAGTAGATTAAATTTGATGAAGAGAGCTTTTTGATGCTCTTTTAAATGTATGACAATGAGAGAGACACCTTGCATGTGAAAAAAATGATTTCTGTGCCACGCACTTCTGCCCCTTTAGTAAAAGTAAATTCAACCTATATGAAGCATAAAGTCTGACTGCGTCAACCTTGTTGCACCGGCTAGTCCTGTCCTTAGAGCTAGGTACAGTACAAACGGGGACCGGAAAGGTGACACGGAAATTCAAATGTACTACGGCTGCCGGTGGTGCAGTCTTCTCCAAAGTCTTATGCTTTGTGAGTAGCTCTGTATTATTTAAACTTAAAGAGTTAATCAAATTTTCAAAATATAAACAGTCTAATTTTGAATAAAACTCAGGCAGATCTGGCGAATCCTGAAAACTATAAACTTGAGAATACGGTCAACATATACTTCAAGGGTTACAAGGTAGGATGATATATATTATCCCCCTCCCCCCCCCCGTTGAGGTTTTTTAGGTGATCAGGGGGGGGGGGTGGTATATGCAAACATTGTATCAATATTAGCTTGCATTAATTTATAACGATTTCAATTTATATTACTTTTCCCGTTCACAAATTTATCCATGAATGGCTGCTAGAATTTCACAAAATTGCAAACATTTGAAAGGTTACATAAAGAGATGCAAAGATTGATAAAAAGGTTCACTTTATACCATTTTTACACGAAATAACAACAGTTTAAGGATAAGTCACACTTCTCAAAAAATAAAAAAATGATTAAGATACCGAGCCTTATTAGACTCGAATAAGAGGTTTATGGTGACAACTCAATATTGCTGTCCCCACACCCACCTCTCCATGAGGGGTTAGAAAGCCTTATTTGCTAGTTTCGGGGAAAAAATATATCAGGAAAGGAATTGAACATTCGCCACAATCTCTAATTTTTCAAATCCTATATTTTTGCAACCTGCAGGATATGAATGAAAGAATAGGAGGATGGTTTATAAGCCCAGAAAAGGTAAACATTAACAAATTCAAAATCCGTGTCTTAGTGCAAATTACGGACAAGAAAGGAATTCATCTGTTTTTTAAGATTGAAAACCCCGCACTAAATTTTAAAAGAACAAAGCAAATAAACATCTTGAAGACTTTTTCCTAATTTTTCCTGAAAATGAAATAAAAATACCCTTTTCTCTCAGATAAATGATTCAGTATTTTTATGTTTTGTTTACACTACCATCAATTCTGACATTTTATTTTTGTTCTCAAAATAGATATATATAATCTACTAATTTGCAACCCCAGATTTTCCTTCTAGCTTTTCCTGACTCACTTAACTTTAAAACCAAGCTAAGGTTATTTTCGTTGTTATCTTTTGGCGACTTTTAAAAAAAGAGAATTTTTATCAAAACATCGTTTAAAATAGTTGGATTTTTTAAGTTTCACCCCGAGTTTGTAAGTTTAGGTGGGAGGAATTCCTTAATCATGGTTATTGCTATAAAATCAAATCTGAACCTTGTTCTGAATTGACTTTATCGCTTCAGCTTGGGAAAGCTGACACAAATTGGCCAGAATACTTCTTTTATATATAAAAAGAGTCTTTTTTTATATATTTTTCCAGGCTGATTATCAGTTTTGCAAAAAAGACTCTTGTCCAGACAACATTTTCAAGTCACCGAAACTTAGGTAAAATTTTTTAAGTAAACACTTTTGAACAAAATTTTGGAAAATTAAATCTCTATATTTGAATTGCAACCCCAGGAGATGCAATAATAAAGAGATAAATAATTATTTCATTTGAATTCAGCGCCTTTTTTTAAAATTCATTTTTTATAGTAAAGAAGACACTGTATTTTTATTGCTTCATGGAAATGCTAAGGTGAATCTTTTTCATAATAGCCTAATATATCAAACTTTAAAAACAATTTTTACTTTAATTTGATGAGTTTTTTGTAAAGTAATTGAGTAAACCTTTGATATTTAAACTTGGACTATTTGATCTACAAGAATTCATACGACATTGGTTTGCAAGGATAAAGTGATTAGAAAATAGATTGTAATAAATGTACGTTGAAAATTCTAAATTCAATGAACTTAAAGGGATTGTAAAGGAAAAATGAAAGGGGGTATAGGATGAAACCTGAAAATCTCATGTTATGAACCATACCTATAAGACATCTATCTTATGTTCCTGTCTCGAGAAATTGACATAAAACTGTGTCAAAATTATGCCAATACGGGCATATGCAAGATTTTGTATAAAAGTTGTAGTATTAAATAGATCATATTCATCAATTACGCAACCAATCTGAAAACGACTATATCTCACAGCAACCTGAAGTTCTCAGGTTTGCTCCTGATATAATTATTTAATTTTTATTGTGCATTTTTTTTAGATTTAATTGATAATATTAATAAAAATGCAAAATGCAAAATTAAAAAATATAATAGGAGCAAACCTGAGATTCTCAGGCTTCTGTGAGATATAATCGTTTTTAGATTGGTTGCCACGGTAAACTAGAGGTCTTGGTTTTAACTTAGGAAACCATTTTGAACCATTACGTTTTCTTATTTGATATTTTGTATTTTTTTTGTTAGGCTTCGTGTTTTAAATATTAATAGAAATGAATAGGAAGTACAAAGGTCTCTTACGGTGTTTTGAAGGATTTGAAATTTAAATGATTAAAATGTGACTGAAAGTATTCCGATACGGCCAGGATGCACTTCGTTAGCTTTACGTGTTGCGTAGTTGTTGAATATGATCTATTTAATACTACAATTTTTATACAAAATCTGGCATATGCCCGTTTTGATATAATTTGACACAGTTTTTTTTTGTCAATTTCTTGAGACAGGAACATAAGATAGATGTCTAATAGGTATCGTTTAAAATCTGAGATTTTCAGGTTTCATCCTTTACCCCCTTTCATTTTTCCTCTACAGTCCCTTTAATGAAACCTTATCGATGCAATTCTTTGCGGTGCAGCAATGAGAACCAATATTGATTTGTTCTGATGTACATTTATATAAGTAGAGGTGTGGACTTGCAACGTGCTTATTCATAGATTTGATGGATTTCTTATATAATTAACCCTATTCCTACTGACGTCTCCTCAGCCCGGGGGGGCCCGGGGGGGGGGGCAGAGGGGGTTTCCTGTATTTCCCTTTTGCGATACTAATTAATAGTATTACACACAAACATATCTTTGCAACCTTGTAAAATAAACTCCTTTTTGTCAGAGGTTTTCCAAAGAGCTATAAAATGTTGAAATCCAATTACAGGAAGTCAGGGTTGATACATAATGTCCGACAGTAGGTTTTAAAGCCTAGCTTTTTGCAGGAAGTGAAAGGAAATTTTGTCAGTTAAAATGTCAAAAATTTAAATATCCTCACACCCCTAAAAACTCCTCCTGCAGTTGGAATAGGGTTAAGTTTTCATCTTAGAGGAAAATTACAATTCACAATCCTAGTATAGATATTTGATACCATTCCCAATCCAAATATAGATATTGGTACCATTCCCAATCCTAGTATAGATATTGGATACTATTCTCAATTCTAGTATAGATATTTGATACCATTCCCAATCCAAGTATAGATATTTGATACCAATCCCAATCCTATTATAGATATTTTATACCAATCCCAATCCTAGTATATATATATTGGATACCATTCCCAATCCTAGTATAGATATTGGATACTATTCCCAATCCTAGTATAGATATTGGATACTATTCCCAATCCTAGTACAGATATTGGATACTATTCCCAATCCTAGTATATTATATATATTGAATACCATTCCAGGCCCATTCACAAGGGTGCCATAGAAAGCCTACGATTAAAATTTTTGTAGATATCCTTGTTTTTCTGTATGAAACATTTATCACATGCAATTGTTGGGTTTCTGAACAAGTGATTTTCGCACTTATTTAACAGTACAATGAAAGAACTTGTAAGTAGTTAGTATTCTGAAATATTAAAAACGACGATCTCTTCCTTATTTTTATCAAGACAATGGTTTAGTGGGGGTACAGAGGTGCCTCGCATAGAATAGCGGCGTATATATATATAATCACTTTAATGATAATATTTTGAAAATAGAACCGAGGTGCCTCGCATAGGATAGCAGCATACAAAACCTTTCAGAGATTAGGGTTTTATACTCTGACCATTGATTACAGGTAAATATTATGTTCACACTTTTAAAGATGTTTTGATTGTATGATAGTGAATGCATTATCACCAGTGCTGTGCAGATCTGAAAGGAAAGTGGGTGGAAACGTCATATGAGGGTGTCTGTACCAAAAGAGTGTGTGTAAGGTTAACGTACCGAAGGTGTGTACTGTAGGTATATACAGTACATACGAATCTCGGTATTTGTACAGTCTAGGAGAGTACATTTGTTTATTTTTAATTGTTTACTTAAAAATAAGTTTAATATACATGTAGTATATTTTATATATATTTAAATCAACACTATAAGCCAAATTTGCATGTAAAGAATATAACTTGATTAAAGTTTACAATAAATATAGTCGTTATTCAAGCTTAATTATAATTGAAAATATTGTTCTGCAATTTCCTTGACTGTAATCATTTTGTGTGTCTGTACCAAAAGAGTGTGTGAAAGGTTAACGTACTGGTCTGCAAAGCAGTGCGACTGGCTTTTTCATGCCAGACCGTGCCATTTCCTTTTCCTTTATTCCTATTCCCTGGATGTGGCGCTACTCTTCACAGCACCATGGTGAGAATGCACACACTCTCATCATTTGAGTATTATAGATATACTCTAATCTATCATGTTCAACGATGAGTAAATGTATCAAAAACATTGTAGTTGTCTCCTCAAAAGGGGCTAGATGTGGGTTAACTAAGAAAAAAATTTAAATATCTTAAAGTCTTAAGAGAATCGTAAAAAAAATCGTAGAAAAATTATTGAATAAGGCGCACGCACCCCTGACAGTGTCTGCTTTATTTACCCAATGTTCGGGGGATACAGTACAAACTGGGACCGGACAGGTTGACCCGTCTCGGAAATTCAAATGCACTACGGCTCCCCGTGAACGTGTTTATTCAAACATGACAGTAAGCAAGACAAGAGGTCATCTTTGAGTTTTGAAATAATTTCCGTCATTTATTCGTTAAGTAGAAGTATTAAAATCTTTTTTTTTTTTTCATGATTGGTGGGCCCCCCCCCCATAATAATACTGCACTGCAGGGGATANAGAGCCATACTGATGAGTCCTTATAGGACGAAACACTGTGTCTATGGATATATATATATATATATATATAATCCTTATATCTTTGGAACATGATGTTATAAATGTTTGATATTTCAAATTTAGGTTATTAGATCTAATAACAGAGTTTTTAGTTTAAAATATCAAAAGTCGACGATGTTTGGTTTCTACAGATATAGGGATTAGACAACTGGATTTTGTGGCAAAAACTCAATGCCTTTGTCTGTTTTCGTCATTTCTAAATCCTGAACTCTTTATTTCGAACCGGCGCGCGCTGTTCAATTTAACGTCTAAGAGGTTCAACTTCTTCGCGCTATTCATAGAAAGACATCTGAGCCCGCGATTTAAAAATGTAGGAAAATAAGACTTAGGTTAAAGCTGAGTTTAACTTATGCTGGAGATTTGGATTTAAATTGCAATTTACTTTTCACAACGTCGGGTTTATTGAACCATTTTAATATTTTATTTGGCAGATTATCATGAGTGGAATTGGTGGATTAGAGGAATTTGATTAGAATACGACTTAGCATATAGAGACTAATTCTTCCCTAAAACCAACCAAGATCGGGTTTATTTTCATAAAGCCTAACTACCTTAAGTCGAGCCAAAGATCTGGCAGCTGTTAATCACGTGGCACAAGATGCCGTTAGCTGGTTCATAGGTTGAGTCTGAGGTGAGCTTTAAACCTGGGTCTAAGGAATTAAGACTGAAGCCTAATCTTTTAAATCGTCGGCTCAGGATTAGAAAATTTTAGTTTGAGCAAATAATCAAATTTTCAGGGAACTAAGAGAAAATCTGGGAGATGATTTTAAATTGGTTTTGTATGGGCACTCCATGGGATCTGGGATAGCAACTCATGCAACAGTTTTGGGACAAGGTAAAAAGAAAAACAACATATTAAAATTATTTATTAATGACTTTATTCTAGTGAGTGTAAATCTTTAATTTCTGGAATTTGTCAAAGCTAGTTACGTAAAATGACAAATTCAGTTGGAAATTTGAATAATTCAGGAGTTTTTTTACACATGCAATTCTCATGAGCTCTTATATTATTGGTGTTAAGAAAATTTGTTTAGAAAAATTTTGTTTTCTTATATAGAGTTAATTAGAGGAAGGACTGATTTTGAAAATATTTCTTGCTTAGAGGAAGGCCTGCGAATAGATGGTGTTCTTCTAGATTCTCCCTTTCACTCTATTGGATGGACCCTAAACAGATCTAGAATTGCAACTTTTATTGGTTAGACAAAAATTTTTATTTATAAAATTAAACTCGAAAGTTGAAATGACTCTCTATGCAAAGTGGGCAACTCCAGATTCACAATGATACTCTTGAAACCTTTATCTGAGTAATAATGTGGAAGATATTGTCGTTTTTAGATTGAACAATTCTATAATTTGATAAAATTCCTCTATGTTTCCTCATCGAGGATATAATATGTATATAGAGTGATGATGTTCGCCATTTACTAATTGTACAGGCCATGTACTTCACTTCTAAAGGTCAATATTTATATTACAGTAATACTCGGGGATGATTTCTGAAAATATTAAAATGGAGAATTTGTTTTCCATGTTCATTACTCTATTATCATGTGCAGGATTCCATTTTCACAGGAAGACGTACATTTACAGCCTTTTACAGAGCAATATTTCATCGTTAATAAACTGTTCTAAGATACAAAACTTAATCTCCAAAAGCGTACTGCATATTTGATGTTTTTACTGCATGAATAGGCCATGTAATCTCTTATTATCCTTTATCAGTAAACTATCCCAAGTGTACTCTCAGGCTAATTACACACGGAGAGGTAGCTAAGATCCAACCCACCTGGTATTCCTGAAGTAAAAATAAGCAAGTCAAGAAATCTATGAAAATCTGTACTCCCAGCATACTCTAGGAGAAGATTTTGATAAAGTGCAGCAAAATATACAAGAAAGAGTTCATCATGGATTACAGGATGATATAAATAAAGTTAACACCCAGTCAGTCAAAGATGCACTAAATAAAATGAAAGCAATAGTATTAACAGAAAAACATTTTTTATATTATTTAGAAATTAAACTTTTATGTAAAATAATCAGTGTAAAGTATATATCATTAACATAAAACCATTTCATTTAATTAATAAAACGTAATATGTTTTGGAACTAAATAAAATTCATTTAGGACCTTGTCATTGTTAGTACATAATAAACACTCGTTTTGGTTGTTTCGAAGTATAATGTTCCAATTATAAAAAAAAATTAAATTAATGGTTTTGAGCTTCCACTTTTTAACATTTCATTGTTTTTTTTTTATAGATTTTGGTAAAATGGTTTGAAAATTTAATCTAAAAATTTAATTTAAAATTCTCCAGATTCTCATTAAGATACTGATTTAAATTAGGATCGGCTCTCTCATCCTATTTATACTTTCATTTTATTATGGTTCAACATTCCACCTAGCCTTAATAAAATTAAATTTAATTAGGCTTTTCATTAGATTTCCTTTTAATTAAACAACGAAAGCTGGAGATTGATTAAAAATATTGATTTTATTTTTTAATATTAATAAAACCTTCACTTTTATTATTTTCGTTGCTTTTGTTCTAAAAAGTCTAAGTTTTCGGAATACTTAATTTTAAATACTGGTCGCCATTATCTTTATTGTTCTCCAATAAAAACAAATTTTTTCTCGATGGGTTTTTCCTTCAAAGTTTGCTTTCAAAAAAATTTATTTAAACAAATTTTAACTACACCATTTATATATGTATTTATATCTTTGTGTGTGAATAAATCTTTATAATAATAATAATAATTTGGTAGAGAACCTCAAATTTTAAATAATCTGGTTTCAAACTAATAAACTGATATCAAATTCATACTTTAAGGGCAGGAACCGGTGGGAATCAAGCATTGCCATCTTTGCATAGAGGTTCATTTGAAATTACGCTTACAGTCCCTTTAAATAATTGCGAATTTAAATTACGTAATTTTCAAAAACTTTTCAAACCTATTTTTTAGAGTCCATATTGGGAGTTGAGTCCATGCTGGCCGAATATGATATTCTGTTCAACTCCATTAATTGGGTCAAACAAATCAGGTTTTTTCTTCTCTTTTTAAGCTTTTATGCTTTTTATGTTATCTTTTTTTAAAGCAATACATGAGGTTTCTATCATTGGCTAGAACAAAGTATTTAATTTTTTTATTCGTCAACAGAAGCTATGTAGTTTCTTTTTGTGTAAAACAAACACATCTGGTTTTCTTTGGCCAAAAACCTAAGGTTACTTTTTACGGTAAAGGTTGTAAGCTTCTATTTTTTAGNCCTGGTTTTTTCTTAGTACAGGGTTTCGAATAACGGATCACCCTGAACTAACGAGAGAGAGAAGCATTCGGTTTCTTTTATTTGAAATCAAACATGTTTTCGTCTATAATTCAACAATCTTTAAACTTACTGATTTGTTTATTTTATACTTGTTCATATTTTTTATATTTCCTGTAATTCTAGGGTTCCAGTTCGAATCCTTCATGCTGAAGTTGATCAAGTTGTACCAATAGGCAAATAGATTATCAAGTATCTACAATAGGGCGTACTTAGCCCGAAATATAAGACAGGGTATTGTCATGAAACCCGGTGTCGGAACCCGGGTTTTGTGAGTGGGTTATGCAAAGGAATTGAGTCTTTGTAACTAACTCTGATTTTCTAATACCTATATTTTTTCCACCTGATGGTGTAATCCTTTGATATTTCAAGCTTAGATATTTTTTCATCTAACAGAATTCATAGTTTGAAATATCAAAGGTCTACGGCATTGGATTACAAAGATATAGAGATTAGAAAATCATAGTGACAAAGACTCAATTCCTTTTGTAGATATCAAATGTTTTGTTGCATTCAAAGATACTCTCTTAAATTTCCGGCTCTGAGTGCGAAACTTAAGACAGCGTATCATAATGAAACTCAGTAGCGGAAAACCGGTTTCATGAATGGGATCTGCATGTTTTATAGATACCATTTTTTCATGTGATTTCTTTACATTCTCTTTTGGTTTTCTAAGTTCTTAATTTAAAATCTACACAAATGTATAGACCCCAAACAGGGGAACTGGGGACTGGGGAGTTTATATCAAATTTTGGCTCTGCAATTGGTACACATTCAGTACAGTTTTAATTATGTTATCAGAATCAGAAATAATATGTCGATAATTGGGATAAAGGAATTGAGGTTTTGCCACAAACTCTGATTTTCCAATCTCTTTATCTTACAAATTCGTAGGCCTTTGATATTTCAAAATAGTAATACTGTGAGTTAAAATGGTCTACGTTTGAAATATAAAAGGTTTACATCGTCAGATTTTAAAGATATAGAGATTTGAACATTTGAGTTTGTGGCAAAAACGAAATTCCTTTGAGTCTTTGCCACAAACCTAAATTTTCTAATCCCTTTACCTTTTCAACCTGGCGGTGTAAACCTTTGATATTTCAAATTTCTATTATACCTAACAGAATTCATATTTGAAATATCTTAGGTAAACATATTGGGGTTGCAAATATATAGAGATTAGAAAATCAGAGCTTTAGCAAAGACTAATACATTTAGAGGTAGAAGTCCAAAAGAGTTACGCGTAGTCGGCGTAGAAAAGGGCTCTCTCTCTACGCTGACTACGCGTAACTGCCTCAGGGTTATTGGGAACAAAATACTTATGAATCTTGAAAAGACGACATCTTGTGTCTTATCTATTATTTTTATTAATCTAAGCATTTAGACTAAATACTTAGGTTACACTAAAATTAGAAAATTTTTATTTGCTCTTTATTCCGTTTTGATATTTGCTGTTTTATCTACTGTTTTGTGACCTAGAGTGAGAACCAGAAAACTGTGGAATAGGAAGACGATAATTAGCAATACTAAAGTGTAATTGATGTTTTTATTTGGAAATAAGTTTTATTAGAATGTAATTAAACCACTTATAAAGTTACATGGGTTTGTTGACAATGCTCAATTGCTGTATCTCTTGTCCATTGGACTATTAAAATTAAAACTTGAGTCTAAAAGTCGTCTACCTATTCCAAAGTTTTCTGGTTCTGACTGTATTGTAAATTTGCAAATCTGTTTGTCCCCAGGACAATCTGTGTCCCTTGTTGAGGACTCTAAACAACATGGAAAGCTTGATATTGATCTTGTCAGGTCATTTATATTTATTTTCACAAAAAATTTCGTGGATTTTCAAAATTTTCAGAAATTTAATGAAGATCGAATTTTGATGGAGACAAATATTTGAAATTTTGATCATTCATAAACCTTTTCTGTGGTCATGTGATGTTCCACAAAAAATTTGGGCCCGATCGGTTCAGCCGTTTTGACGTTTATTAGATACAAACAAACAGACAGACAAGCCAAATTTATATATAGATATATACTTTTCTTGTCTGTATGTCATTTTGTCTGTTTGTAGGATAAACGTCAAAACGATAGAACCGATCCGGCCCCATTTTGTGTGTGACATCACATGACCCAAGGAAAGGTTCATGGATGCTCAAAATTCCAAAAAATTTCCAAATTTATTTGATTTTTGTAAAATTTTGTAAATGTGCGAAAAAAGCGCTTTAAAAGTCTTATAATAAATATTAATATAATTATAAAAATTTGGGAAATTTATAATTGATTTGGGAAAATCATGACGAAAAAACCGCGAAAATGATTGAAATAAAAACTCTTCTATCTATATCCTGACGCTTTTCTGGACAATTTTCCGTATTGCACTTACCTCTAACTCCCAATATCTAAAAATTATAACTTTGAACCCCTTAAAAAAACTAAAAAGCTTGAAAATTACATCATGTTATACAATTATAGACAGCAATATGACATGAAAATGTTAACAATCAAACCAAAATGAATTATTATAAGCCTGAAATACTTTTTTTTTACTTAGAGGGCTTGTATCAAAAAAGGCAACATTTCGGAAATGAGATTTACTTTCGCCTGTTATCCACCAAGATTTTTATTCTATTATTTTTATTATTACGAATAAGATTACAAATCTGTTTACGTTAAAAAACATTTATAAAAAAATAAACAAATTTATTTTAGATTTGATGAGGAGGGTCTAGGCCATATTGGAATATCAACTACTCGCGGATTTATCAAACAAATTCAAGATTTTGCAGACATCTGCTAAATTCAGGATTTTGCAGATATTTGCTAATTATTCATCATTTTGTAGATATCTGCTAAATTCAAGATTTTGCAGATATCTGCTAAATTCAAGATTTTACAGATATTTGCTAAATTCAAGATTTTGCAGATATCTGCTAAATTCATCATTTTGCAGATATATGCTAAATTCAAGATATTGCATATATCTGCTAAATTCAAGATTTTAGATTCACCATTTTACAGATATCTGCTAAAAATTCAAGATTTTGCAGATATCTGCTAAATTCATCATTTTGCAGATATCTGCTAAATTCAAGATTTTGCAGATATCTGCTAAATTCAAGATTTTCCAGATATCTACCAAATTCAAGATTTTGCAGATATCTGCAAAATTCAAGATTTTGCATATATCTGCTAAATTCATCATTGTGCAGATATCAGCTAAATTCATCATTTTGCAGATATCTGCTAAATTCATCATTGTGCAAATATCTGCTAAATTCATCATTTTGCAGATATCTGCTAAGTTCAAAATTTTGCAGACATCTGCTAAATTCAACTTTTTGCTGATAACTGCAAAATTTAAATTTTGCGGACATCTGCTTAGTTTTTCTTGTCAGGGCAATACTGGCCATTTTAAGTTAACGTACTGCAGGGTGTCCCATTGAACATGGGAATTGAGAGTCGACTTGAAAGTCGTCTTTGATTTCTGATATTTAATGCATGGCAAAGAAAGTAAAAAACCGAGACTGCACGTCTGACGAGATTTTCAGAAAGTGGTCTGCACCTTTCTTACATCTTAAAAATTGACGAAAATATATTAAGAAAATTTTGATTCATTAAATAAATTGTAATTTGTTTAATTTTTCAAGATATAACGAAAATTACTGAACGAAATTGTCAAAGTTCTTGCTGTGATTTATGCCTACAAAGCTATATATATAAATAAATTAAATTTAAAAAAATAATCTGTTCCACGAATTCTTAATCAGAAGAAGAAAGTAAGAATACCTGAGTAACTTGAAATTACATTTACAGAGCCCGCGATTTAAAAACTTTGGCTCCAGCCGTAATTCCTTAAACACAACTTTAAGACCCAATATTCGACCCAACTCTGACACCAGCTTGTGACACTTGATTGACACATGCGAGGTCTTAGGCTCGACTTAAGGAGTTAGGCCCAATGAAAATAAAACCGACCGTGATTGGTTTTAGTAGAGAATAAAGCTCAATGCGAGTCTTATTCTCAAAAAAAACCCGAATGTGCAAATAATCTTATATGAAAATCCGCAAGATATAATATTAAACTGGCCTTTTGAACTCAACTTTGGGGAAAATAAGATGAAGCTTGAATCCGAAAGCTCAAACTGTAAATAAGGCCCTACGACAGCTTAGACCCGAGCAATATCTTCCCGAGATTTTAAAATCGCTGGTTCTGTTCTATTAAAACGAACACAAGAATTAAACTCAAGGGAAAGTTGTAAGCAATATTTTCAGAAGGGTTTTAAAGACTAAGCAGTCAGCAGTCAGCATAATTTAAAGCTTTAGAAATTGTTTATTCAAATAATTCAGTTGTTAAAAGGATTTTATAAATATCTTTTTTAAAGGGATTGTTCAAATATTTCTTTCAAAGGGATAATTCAAATATTTTTTTTAAAGAGATTGTTTAAATATTTCTATGTAAGGGATTGATGAAATATTTTTTATTGTTTAATTATTTCTTTTAAGGGAATTGTTTAAAAATTTCTTTTTAAAGGAATTATTGAAATATTTCCTTTAATGGGATTCTTCAAATGTTTCTTGTAAAGGAATTTTGTAATTATTTCTTTATTGTTTATATATTTCGTTTAAAGGGATTCTTTGAAAATTTCTTTACATATTTATTCAAATATTTCTATGAAAGGGGTTGTTCAAATATTTCTTTTAGAGGGATTGTTTAAGTATTTCTTTTAGTGGCATTGTTAAAACATTTCTTTTGAAGCGATTGATCAAATGTTTCTATTACAAGGATTGCTAAAATATTTCTGTAGATATTTCAATGAAAGGGGTTATTTAAATATTTCGATAAAAGGGATTGTTTAACCCTCAAAAAGTATTGGTCTGAGGCTGTTGAAATGTTCTGACTTTTCCTACATACCCAAAGCCTTCCCTTTATGCCTAAAACCGGGTTTTAATACTAACTGCCTGAGTCCTCAGGCACACTGCCTGAATGACTGCTTTTTCCTGTAACAAACTAAATCTTTGTTTTGACCCACTTCCACTTGTAAGATTTTGATAAAATTTAGCTTTTTGGAAAGCCTTTGACATAAGGAAACGAATTGCACAAGTTTTGCGAAAAAAATTGCAAAATTTTTGCAAACAACCTGTCAAAGTAAATATGCACATTTTTAGTTTTTCTTGATTAAAAATCAGGTTATTTAAAATTTTGCAAAATTTTTTGCATATTTGAAATGGCATGGTCTAGGGCTTTTTAAAAATGTATAATTTTTCATGTTTTGGACAAATTTGTTTGCAAAGTTTTTACTATATAACTGGATTTTGCGATAAAAAATTCAATTTTTGCAAATTTGCAATTTTTTTTGTAGATTCTAAAAGTAGAGCACAAGAGCTTTTCAATGATGTATCATTTGTCATATTTGGACATCAAACATGGGATTTAGAGGGGGGTCAAATTATTTAATTATTTCTTTTTAAAGGGATTGTTTAAATATTTCTATGGAAGGGATTACTCAATTTTTTCTTGAAAGGGATTGTTTAAATATTAAAGGGGTTATATAAATAATGAGATTATGTAAATATTTCGATATAGGGATTGTTCGAATACTTCTATGAAAGGGATTGTTGAAATGTTTCTAACCAAGAGATTGTTAAAGGGATAATTTAATATTTGTTTTTAAGGGATTGGTTTAAAAATTTCTATGAATGGAATTATTGAAATATATTTCTTTAAAGGGGTTGCTCAAATATTTCTTTCAGAGGGATTCTTTAGGAATCTTTTTAAAGGGACAAATATTTCTATTAAAGTATTTATTCAAATATTTCTTTTAAGGGATTGTTAAAATATTTCTTTTAAAGGGATTGTTCAAATATTTCTCTAAAAGAGATTGTTTTCATAAATCTATTTAAGAGATTGTACAAATGTTTATTTTAAATGGAATGTTTAAGTATTTCTTTTAATGGGATTGTTCAAAAATTTCTTTAAAGGGATTGTTCAAATATTTCTTTAAAAACAATTCTTTAAGGATTCATTTAAAGGATTTGTTTAAATATTTCTCATAAGGAGGATTTCAAAATATTTCTAAAAAAGAGAATAAAATTGTAAATTTAAATATAGTTTATTATTAAATATTAATATCAAAACAGATTTAGGGTAACACATTAACAGAGTGAATTTGCAGTTTATTATAATAAGAAATATTAGGAAATAAATTAGTCTAATTAAAACAACTAATTAAAGAAATTCTGATGAACTCTTTTAACAAACACAAAATAATTATATTTGATATCAATGAAAGAGCTGATAAACATCACACAATACCCCTGGCCCCCTTGCTCCCTCTCTCGTCCAAAAAAAAACCTTCCCCCTTCCCCTCCACAGTGATCAAAACTATTGCCCAGCAAGTAGGACAGGGCTCTCTTTTAGATTCTAAAAATCTTAGACATGTCACCAACCCATCTCCCCCCGGGAAGACCTAAGTGTTAAACCTCAAATCACAAAGATGAAAACATTTAATGAAAGTTTGTAAACATTTAGCATTACACCACAGAGCGTTGTCTAATTACAGCGCTTGGCCCATGTATTTTCTGAAACCAACCTAAGCTCATTTATGTTTAAGCAATATATTTGTATGGATCGCTTCACGCAAATCTGCCCCTTTAGTAAAAGTAAATTCAGCCTATATGAAGCCCACAGTCTGACCGTGACAACCTTGTTGTACCGTCTAGTCCTGCCCATAGAGCTAGGTACAGTTCCAACTGGGACCAGACTGGTTGACCCGGCTCGGAAATTCAAATGTACTACGGCTGCCCGTAGCTTAGCTGCAGAGCACATCACAAACAGTGCTTCTATGCACATGACGAACTCAACCCAATCTGGGAACTTTTTTTGTAGGATATTCGAATTCAGTGAAGCTTATCCACCAATGAAAGCATAAATTTCTATACAGAATTGATTTTGAAGGTGTACTAGGCGAAATATTGACAGATTTGTTATTGTAAATAGTATTATTTTAGTACAGAATTCTGTAAGTCCTATATTATGCATTGTATACATAGAGTAAAATATCATATTTTGATTTTTATTACCAGTTAGAGAATATTTGGAGTGGAAATTTGATTACTATTTGATATTAAAATATTCATTAAATCAACATAAAATATACCAAAATATAGTCGTGATATTGCTTTAACAAATTAAGGCATAAATTATTCATGCGTTGAGGGCCAAAGTGAAATAGTATAACATTGTAATAAAATAAAAAGTAATATTCTAATGGGTCTAATAAATAAAACTTAAACATTAAAAAAAATATGCAATTGTTAAATGTTTTTAAGTTAGTTAATAAATAGAAATAAAGAATTGGGAGTTTTCAAATAGATTCTTCTAAAATATTAAACTCGACCTTCAAGCAATGTTTGGATATTCCAATTTGTTTTATAACATTCTGTAATATTATTCTTACAATTTAGATGGAAAAAATGGCTGATTTCTTATTTAGCTTTATGTCATATCCTTCTCTAATAACCATTGTTGTTTGTTTTTAATGAGATGACATTTGTTTCGAAAATACAATATTTTTAATGGACCATTACAAAAAATATCACATATGACAATTTCACGATGATTAGAAAATTTAAAATAAAACACTCTAAATATTTCTGTATTTGGTTTGGTGTATAGAATACTCTATAAAATCTGTATTTGGTTTGGTGTATAGAATACTCTATATATCTGTATTCGGTTTGGTGTATAGAATACTCTATACGTCTGTATTTGATTTGGTGTATAGAATACTCTATATCTGTATTTGGTTTGGTGTATAGAATACTCTATAATATCTGTATTTGGTTTGGTGTATAGAATACTCTAAATATATCTGTATTTGGTTTGGTGTACAGAATACTCTAAATATCTGTATTTGGGTTGGTGAATAGAATACTCTATATCTGTATTTGGTTTGGTGTATAGAATACTCTATAAGATCCGTATTTGGTTTGGTGTATAGAATACTCTAAATCTGTATTTGGTTTGGTGTATAGAATACTCTATATATGTCTGTATTTGGTTTGGTGTATAGAATACTCTATATCTGTATTTGGTTTGGTGTATAGAATACTCTACATATGTATTTGGTTTGGTGTATAGAATACTCTATATATATCTGTATTTGGTTTGGTGTAAAGAATACTCTATATCTGTATTTGGTTTGGTGTATAGAATACTCTATATATATCTGTATTTGGTTTGGTGTAAAGAATACTCTATATCTGTATTTGGTTTGGTGTATAGAATACTCTTTATATGTATTTGGTTTGGTGTATAGAATACTCTATATCTGTATTTGGTTTGGTGTATAAAATACTCTATATCTGTATTTGGTTTGGTGTATAGAATACTCTATAAATCTGTATTTAGCTGCTGTAAGTATGATTTATGACTTGAATTCCCAAGCTACCCCATAATTCAGTCTATTGTCCAGTCCTGGTTATTTCTAAGCTATTTTCTTCTAAATGTTCCCCCTGGGACACGTTTATCAAACCAACAAAACCAAAAGTGATGAATATTCTGCTGCTGCAAGGGATAGGCATCTTATACAGTGGGATCCTTACAACTAGGGCTGGGCAAAGTCCCGTTAACGAAACGGAGGTTTTCGAAAATTAACAGAAGAGTCCGTTATGAAACGGCAAAAACCCTTAATTTTGTAATCGTTTATAACACAGATTAGCTGTTTTTTTAATAAAATTACTGTTAAAAACGTTAACTGTGAAGCTAAAAACGGTTTATTTTCTGATTAAAGCTGCGTGAAATTTTTTTTTTAACGGACCGTTAACGAAACGGCTAGAAAAAGTTGGAATGTACTTACAACTCTGCGATAAAAAGATTCCTTAAAAACTCAAGTTATGACTTGAATAGTCTAATAAACATGAAACACGAAATTGTGCATTGGTTCACAGACCCATTTTTCTTTATAGGTTGATTTTCAAGCTACTGATAAACAATATAGCATCAAAAACGTCAAATATGGCACAAATAAGATTGACTACCACTCCAAGGTTTATGGCCGGGTCCCAAATCATCGTTTTGGATTTTGAAAGAAGGCGATCTCTTTAAAAGCCATTGTCTCGTTTTAGAATCATTTACAAAGGAACTGAAGGGATGAAAGTCGTTTTTCAAAGGCATAAAAAATTATAAATAATTCGCTTCAATTTTGTTTCTTAAATTTTTAGTTTTTTATAAACATCAAGTTCCTCAAAAAAAAGGTGATAATGCAAATACGTTCAAAAGTACAAGTATTGCCTGGTGTACCAGCCCGTCTAGGATACCAGTATGTGGTTGACCCAGCGCGTTTTTGCAACAGAATTAGGCGGGGGAATCGAACTAATGCATGGCTTTTTTTAAAACTTGCCAATGCACTCACAACTGTCGGAATTTTATTAGGAGGATAGGTCATTTTTTCCCGAAACATAAATGTAATATAACAAATTTTCTAACAAATAAAAAACATAATTCTGATATTTTGCCATCTTTTAGTTCTTTGAAAAAATACCCCTCTCGGATTAGTATACATATACTGCCCATGGAGGACTAAAAATTGGCCATGAATTTAACTTTCTGGGTCAAGTTTCCGGAATGGATTTTTTTTTCCGAAATAGTGGAAACATGAAACGGTACGGTACACGGACAGCCGTAGTACATTTGAATTTCCTAGCCGGGTCAACCGATCCGGTCCCAGTTTGAACTGCACCTAGCTCTTTGGACAGGACTAGCCGGTGCAACACGGTTGACGTGGTCAGACTTTCTGCTTCATATAGGCTGAATTTACTTTTACTAAAGGGGCAGAGGTGCGTGGGTATACATACTTTTTTGTTTAAAAATTAGTTTTTATCAAATTGAGCTAAAGATATCGTTAAACTGGGATTATTTAAAGAAAAACAAAAATATTATTCATTATTTAAACAATATCAGATCTCAAGTATATTGTTATGAACCAGTCTGTATATTGAATTTAATTCTTATTATAAATATTAACATAAATTTGTTCAATCAAAATTTTATGTTTTAAAGATACCAGATAATTAGAATTGGAATATACTATAAACAGTGATTATTCCACATATATTTACTTTATAATTTACCATCTTAGAACCATAATTGTCCTATTTGTAAAAATTTAATAAAGTGATACAATACTAATTATTTTTCTAAACATTAACATTCTTATAAAATTACATTTTTTCGCATTTATAACTTAAAAAGTTTATAAATTCTATCTACTTTCCTCTTCCCTTTCTTTGTATTAGAGTATAAACTGGGAAGAGTTTTACTTTCTTTGAAGTTAAATAGTTTCTATTGAAGCAGTATTTAATTACCTCTAATGACCCGTCAGTTTATAATTAGCTAATTATCTATTAATCCTCTAAAGGTATAGATCTATAGATCTATACCTTGTTTCTTCAGTATACAGGATTCAGTTCAACAAATATTTTTAATAAATTCTAAAAAACCTTTTGTAAAGTAGTTTTATTATGGTTCACAAGTTTAATATTGATCACAATAGTGATATTTTTAGAAATGCATTATTAAAGTAAATATATTTTCAAATGAGTCTAGAGATTCGGCTTTTTGAATTTTTTCATTGAGTAAACAAATATTTTTTTCATAAGGTTGTAAAACAAATTCAAAAGTTTGATAAAAAAAAATCATTCGTTTCGGAAAAAAGCTCGTTAAAAGAATTCATTTCATTGAGTATTATTAAAACAATCGTCTTATGGTCGGATCATTAACGGTCTGACTGATACATAACATGCAAACGAAATTCAAAAATTTAAAACACATGTTTTTTTGTTCGTTTTGAAAAACGCGAGTTTTCAAACTTCACTGAACGATTCAATGTATTTGTACATTTTTTTAACAACACCATCTTTCATTTAAAAAAAATTTCGTTAATTTACATAAAAGAATGTTCATCTATAAAAGTGATCCATCAATTGTTTTGAGGAATATCTAATCAAGAATGAAGAAGATATCCTTCTTTTATTCTTTCTTAGATAAAGTTTTAAAGAGTACCGTTGTGAATTAGTCAAACCACGCTAAATATGAAGGATCACTTGAAATTACGTGTACAGTTCCTTTAAAGAAATATATTTGTTTAAATGATCTAAAGATCGAAGATGGCAGGATTGATAATTATTCTTTGTATTAGTTTCCTAACAATCCTACCAGTTGTACTCAATAACCCAGGTACTAAACCAGTTGTACTCAATAACCCAGGTACTAAACCAGTTGTACTCAATAACCCAGGTTCTAAACCAGTTGTACTCAATAACCCAGGTACTAAACCGGTTGAACTCAATAACCCAGGTATTAAACCAGTTGTACTCAATAACCCAAATACTAAACCAGCTGTACTCAATAACAAAGGTACTAAACCAGTTGTACTCCATAGCCCAGGTACAAAACCAGTTGTACTCAATAACCCAGGTACTAAACTAAGTTGTACTCAATAACCCAGGTACTAAATACAGTGGGTTCCATAAAACTGTACTGTCATATCAGAGAGGGAACTCTAGGACGCCATGAGCCTCCGCTGTGCAGACACGAGCCTCAAAGATTTGTTAGGTATGCACCGAGCCTCCACTATGCATTAATGAGCATGCGCAATACATCAAAATGTGCCTGAATACTACAGCCTAGGAGGTTTTTTAAACTTGTATTTTAAGTTTATAAAAGATTTTTTACAAATTTTTCGACATAGACGCATGAGAGGTTTCTCAAAATTAATTAGTATTTATCAATTATCATAAATAGTTCCTACTTAAGACGAATAAAGTGGTTTAAACATTTTTTACAAGGAAAGGAAAATATTTAGAGAAAAAAATTTTAATTAAATTTCATTTCTTCTTTTGTAATCTTTCATTTAAGCAATACCTAGTTTTGTAGTTCAAATTAAATCTACAAAATTTGTAAAATTTTTTTAAATCTTAACATTTTTAAAAAAAGGTAATGTTTGAATCAAAGATTACAACAAAACAAACTAAATTTACTCCAGAAATATTTCTCCAAATATCTTCCTTTCTGTTGTATGGCGGAGGCTCGTTTACTCGGTCTGTATAGCAAATCTGGGAGGCTCATGTTTGCATTTTGGAGGCTCCAGGAGTTCCCTTCCTCCTCACATGAAGAAGACGTTTGAACAATTTGATGTGTACTATTTAGAGATTTGTGAAATTGGTCTGTGTACACTGCACATTTGCTTCATTGTTTGATGTTGATAAGAATATATATTTTCTTTAAAAATAATTTTATTTTTACCATATTATAAATTTTTAGAACCTGCCTCGATTGGATACTATTTGGCAGAGTTGGCTAAAATTGCAGGTTTTTAAAATATATTTATTTTTTTGTCAAACTAGAGCTACTATAAAAATATAACTTTGAATATTTAGAGGCTCAAAAAACCGCTCTTGTAAAACACCCAGTAATAAGGTAGGAGATATATATTCACATATTTGAATGTATGTATTATATAGGAACAAAATATGAACAAAGGAATTGGGAAAAAGGGGAAAGTAAGAGTATTTACCTGATTAACACTTTTTTATCATCTTTGTTGAAAACTTTTGTTTTTATAAACTGTTTAATAAAACGTTTTTTTGGACTTTTAAATAATTAACTTTGATATAATCATATATCACTATATATATATATATATATTTGTATTAGGGTTGGATTTGTTCCTCAGCAGAAAGAAGAAATGGAAGAGGAAAAAGAAAAGAACATTGATTAAATAATTCTTTACAATGCATAGTTTCTATAAATTTTCAATCAAAATGTTAAAATAAATTTTCTGTATTTGTGTTCTCTGAATAGTATGCATTGTTTGTGAGTTGTGACCTAATTTTTATTGGCTCCAAAGTTTAAAAAAAATTAAATTTTGTTACTTGAGTTTTTTTTTGCATTAGTTGGTTAAAAAATGAAAAATGTTCAACAAACCATCATGGTCATTTTAAAGTTACAGAATTGAATGATTACACATGGTAAGTTCACAATGTTTACAATGTTTTTAGGAAAATGATAAAAATACTCTTAAGGGGAATCCCTTAAAGGCTTAGACTGGTAAAAAAAATAAGCTATTCATGTTTCTCCGTTTGGAATTCATAAATTTTTAATGAGGGGTTCTCTGTAAAAGTGACTTGCGTAGAGAAACAATGAAGTTTAATTTTCAGAATTAAAAACTTTTTTGGCTAGAAAACGACGATATATCTTCCACTGTGTTGATCAGATGCAAGGAGAATTGAATAGAAGGAGGGGGCGATAGGGTTTCCGTACACTTTGATGTGACGTTTTTGGACTGCTGAAGAACTAGTTTTTGCGTAACAACAATAATAAAGATTGTAAATAATAACACAAATGATAAACAGACATCTGGCGCATCTCTAGCTTTAGATGAAGATTCACCGTATACTAGCTCATGTTTGTTTGCATTAGATCAGCTGCCTTTGTTAATGTTGTTACGCAAAAACTAGTTCTTCAGGAGTCCAAAAACGTCACAGCAAAGTGTACGGAAACCCTATCGCCCCCTCCTTCTATTCAATTCTCCTTGCATCTGATCAACACAGTGGAAGATATATCGTCGTTTTCTAGCCAAAAAAGTTTTTAATTCTGAAAATTAAACTTCATTGATAAAATTGATTAATACTAACATGTAAGAGATGAATTATTGAAAAAAAATCGAAGTGGGGAGAAGTTCAACCTGGCGGTTAGTCTGGTCAACAGTGGTTACCACAGTAAAATGCGCATACCACGGGCAGCTGTAGTACATTTGAACTTCCGAGCCGGGTCAACCTTTCCGGTTCCAGTTTGTTATACTGTACATAGCTCTACGGACAGGACTAGCCGGTGCAACAGTTGGTTGACGAGGTCAGACTTTATGCTTCGAATAGGTTGAATTTACTTTTACTGTAGGGGCAGAGGTGCGTGATACGAATGAAAATTTCTAATGTTTAAAATAATGATACCTCTTATTAAAGACCTATTGAGAAGAACAAAAATGTTTTTAATTTGTAATGTGTAATCCGGAACAACAAACTTGTGCATCAGATCAAAAGAGCTACGAGGTCACAATGTCGGACCATAATTTTTGCATAGAATTAACCTACTTTCTCAGTATAGTTTGCAGGGTACCGTTATGAATCTGACATGCCATTAAAATTACACTTACAGTCCCTTTAGTATTGAATATTTGTATATAAAGAATGGAAATAAAGAAAAGAAAGAAATACCAATACATCTGGCCAGGAAGTTGTTCAGGCATCGTCTTGACATTATCAGTTAATGAAAATGTCAAAATTCCACAAGGATCCAAAAATCAATTCACCATCCCCCCCCCTTTCCTCACTCCCCCCTCATCTCCGGACCACTTCCCCCCCCTTCCCCATGCTTTAATTCCCCCAAAAATCCAGCTTGTTTTTTTAAAATTATTTATTTTCTCTATTAGAAGTTGAAAAGTCCTATTGAGAAAAAAACATTTTTTAAATGTTATGAACAATTACACAAAATCAATAAATGAAATTGTATTGTTCAGTACCGTAGGTGTTTTCTAAATCTGCTAATAAAAATATGAAAGGAATGATTGAATGAATTGATTTCAAATGTTAACATTACTTTTTAAGTTTTATAGATGATAAAAAAGAGAAAAATATAATTGATATTAAGTGACAGCTTTCGTGAACTTTTCGTTTTGTTTCGTTTTTCATTTCATTTTTAAACTACTATGTCGTTTTTCAATAAACGAACCACTCGTTTTGAACTTTAAAAAACGAAAATGAAAACAATGGTATGATCCTTTTCGTAAAAGAACTTTTTGGTAATAAATCTGAGTTTTATGACAATTTATTTTATTTTTTTCAGGAAGATAAGTTGATGAATGTTGTCTTAAATGTTTTTTTTATCATTATAATTAACATGCATATTTACTAACCTATGGTTTGTATCTAAGGATTTTCCGACCAAAAGAAAGTATTTTGTCTATAAAAGGTCGTCAACGATCGTTAACGAAAGATCGTTAACAATCGTCAAAAATTAAAAACAACCACCTTTGTTAACGAAACGACGAACTAAAACTAAAAAAACGTCTTCTTTGTTTTTTAATTTAAAAAAAGATCTTTTGCAAAAAATATTGTTTTTAAACATAACCATTCCGTTTTCGTTTTTTTGTTGTCGTATTTAAAACAAAACGATCATTTTTCAAAAAATTTAAGTTTATTATGAAGAAACATGTATAGTAAATTATCTTTACAGCTTATCTTTCTTCTTTCCTTATCTCAAGCTATCTATCTATCTTTAACTAACAAATTTACTCTTACTTTTATATTTATATAAATTTTTCAGGGTTAATCATGTAGATAGACGACATCAAAACATCATCAAAATGAAGCAATATATTTTTATCATCCAATTTTTTCTTAAAAAAAACTATATTTTATTCCCTGTACTAAATTCTGTAAATATTCTAAACATATTGTTCTTATTAGTTTAGATTTATCATCAGAAATGTTAAAACCGAAAACTAATTTATTAATATTTTGTCTGTTCGCTGGTACTGCAGTATTTGGAGAAGGTTAGTTACAAACCTAGTTCTAGGGATGGGTTATAGAGGTGGACATTTTTTTCAAGCGTTTGGAAATAAGATTTATTAGTTTAATCTCAATATTATTTCGTTTGTTTCTCAATGAACGATTGTTCAGTAGAATTGTTCGTTCAGTAAAAAACTATTTTTTTTTCATGATCGTTAGAACTATTCTAAATGTTCTTTAAAAATCTGAAGTGTTTCATACAAAACAAGTCGTTTTGGTAAATTTCATTGGTCAGAGAAAATAATTTACATTATATTATATTACACCAAACTAGATAAGAAAATAAGGTGAATTCTTTGCGATATCACTGATCTGGTTGTTTTTAAGCAAAAGAATGTTAATAATAAATTTATCCAGATATATAATGAAAATTGAAAATATCTATAGAACTCGTAAACGCTCTTTAATAAGAGTAGTTATTAAAGATTTCAATCCTTCATGAAATTTACTTTCGCTTGACACGATAAAAAAAAACTTATTGAGCATACAATTAGACATATCATATCTTTTTGGATTTCACCTGTATAGCATCGTATCGGTTTGGATCATGCATAGAAGAACCTTTTAAGCTACTCTGTCCCTTCTAACCTATTTGTTTTGGATGATGACCTTAGAATTTTCAAATGAGATCAACCGTTTCATGATCGGAACCAGATATACTGGTTTAGTGTTTACTCGTACCAACCTGACTGGTGTACCCATGGTAACTTGGTATATAGTTGACAATCACGTTTTCTGCAACAAAATAATTTAAATAAATTCAATGATAAACATTTTATACGTTTTTTTAAAACCATTGGGCTATACTTCAAAAATCTGCCAAAAAATGAAAATTTTTGAAAAAATCCAATTAAAATTGAGCAAAATGAGAATTTTTTTTAACGGTTGGAACTAACCGTTAACGAAAGGATTGAAAAACGTGGAGCGTGCCCAGCCCTAAAGTGATCTTTATTTTCTTGTACTAGAGGATGTCTCTGAATGCACGAGATACGATCCTCAAGAGATCAAGGCGACCTTCTTCGATCCCAGTTTCAGCAGTACTCTAAACTTTTGTAAGTTAACCAGGGCGCTAACCAAATTGTCAAAAAAAGAATAAAGAATAAGTTACAAAAATGTCAGACCCATTTTGAAAATAAGAATTTTAGATTCCAGCTGTAAAGAATTTTACTACAATGAGGCTTTAGACTAAAAATGATTTAAAAGCAATCACTGTATTCCTATGTTTGTTGGGACACTCTGTATTTGCCTTGTTTTTAGATCTTGAAGCTGTCTCAGAGTTTGAAAATGCAATCCAGGACCTTAAGGTTGGATTAAATATTTAATCCTTAAAAAGTTGAGGTTGAGATGCGTTTGCACAATCATTTTATTTTTTGTTCAATCCCTCTCACTTTTGTTACCATCAACTTGAAAGAATACTCTAAGAAATGCCAAATTTTCATCAAAAAATGTGTTGAAGCACCTGAGAACTATTGGTCTGAGTCTGTTCATGAATCACTTAAGGCTAAAAGTTGGTGTTTAATACCTACTGCCTGTGTTAAGGGCATACTGCCTGAATGCCTTAAAAATACCATACTCAATCTTTATTTAGACCCAGTTCCAGCCATTGACTTTTTACTGATAGCAAAAGATGTTTTAGGACAAATTCCCAAAGATGGCTGAAAAATCAAATCCTATACAAGCAGCACAATTCTTTGCAAATTTTAAAGAGGAGATAGGGTAAGTGGATTTATAGGAAAAACATGAGTCTTTGCAACAAACTCAAATATTCTTATCCCTATATCTATGCAACCTGATGATGTAAACTTTTGGGATTTTCAAACTTAGTTTGAAATTTCTAAGGTCCATAACACATGTTTAAAGATATAGAGTTCAAGGATAAGTGTCAGTTCCTCAAAGGAATAGTAAATGTCATTTCAAAGCGACTCTCCTGCTTTAGAGTAGCTGGTCTAATTGACAAAGTACCTACACACTTTTGTCTTAGCAAGGATTATTAAGATATCTTGCTTTTTCCATGCCTAAATTTAATTATTTTATAACATAAAATATTTTAATCATTTTTATGAGAGAAAACAACGAAATATTCTTCCCTATTTAAAGTTTTGTTGGGTATCTATTGTAAATCAAATCGCTTTGCAAAACCAGTTTTCAAAGACAAGAACATAACATTGCATTGTAATATTTGTAATTTTTTTTCAGGATTTGTTTGAGAGCTCATGTCAGGCACTGGTCGAAAATTACAGAGACGCAATTAGATATCTTGGACAAGAGGTAGAGTTTTAAACTTTGCAGGATTTGATACTTAGCTTATTTTTGATCTAAGCTATGCATTCTATCCCAACATGAATCTTTCTATAAGTATGAATATAAATATATGTACACTGTATAGTGATGTAGATCGATTTAGATAGATAATTTTTCTGTCTTAATGTCAATTTCCTACAAGTTATTGCAAAGATATTTATATATTTGCATAGTAACAAAAAAATATCTTTCAATCTTTAATTTATTACTGCAGAAGGAATGAAATGTCGTTCTGTTCACAATCGATATTATGTTGTGATTATAAGTTAAGTTAAACTATAGATTAATGATTGTGCATCAAGAGATTTTTTATTTGCCAGCATAGCTGAACATTATTCTAGGGCAAGGACAATCAGAGCATTAAAAAAGATGCAAAAAAGGTAAAAACTCAAGATACGGCATTTAGATATTCAGTTTTCAAGTAGCGAATTTATAGAATTACACCTGCACAAGCTGGGGTATGAGTTCAGAAAAATTCTTTCTTTAATCTCAGGAATTGCCACAAACTCAGATTTTTTATTCCCTTTATCTTTGCAACCCAATTTTGTAGACCCTAGATATTTCAAGCTATGAAATTGTGATCAATCAAGTAATCAAAGTTATAAATATCTAAGGTTTACGCCATCTAGTTTTAGGTATCATTAAAATTGGGATTTGTGGCAAAGACTTAAATCCTTTGTCTCCATATTGTTTTTTATTTGTAAGAAAGTTGTTAAAAATCATGAATTAATTAAATAAGTGGAAAATAAGTTCCTCTGTTCTTAAATAGTAAAAATTATTCTATACCTAACAATTAACCAAAAACATATAGTTTTCCTTCAAATTAAGTTTACAATCCGTTTAGCTTAACAATTTACCACAACAATTCATCAAACATATTTTAATAAAAATGATTTAATAGGATTAATTTCATAGTCTCCATTTATATAACAGGATTGATTTCATAGTCTCCATTTATATAACAGGATTGATTACATAGTCTCCATTTATATCACAGGATTAATTGTATAGTCTCCATTTATATAACAGGACTAATTGCATATTCTCAAATAACAGGATTAATTGCATAGTCTCCATTTATATAACAGCCTAACAGGATTAATTGAATAGTCTCCATTTATATAACAGGATTGATTGCAAAGTCTCCATTTATATGACAGGACTAATGGCATATTCTCAAATAACAGGATTAATTTCAAATTCTCCATTTATGTAACAGGATTAATTGCATAATCTCTATTTATATAACAGTACTAATTGCATATTCTCAAATAACAGGATAATTTCAAAGTTTCCAATTATATACCAGACTAATTGCATATTCTCAAATAACAGGATTAATTTCAAAGTCTCCAATTATATAACAGGATTAATTGCTTAGTCTCCATTTATGTATCAGGATTAATTGCATATTCTCCATTTATAAAACAGGATTAATTGCTATAAGTGCATAGTCTCCATTTATATAAATGCTTAGTCTTCATTTATATAACAGGATTAATTGCATAGTCTCCATTTATATAACAGGAATAATTGCATAGTCGACATTTACATAACAGGATTAACTGCATAATCTCCATCTATATAACAGGCTCCATTAGGCTACAATTTTATGTTGTCAGCATTATAATAATAAATCCAGAAATAAAGAATATTTAAATTAATTTTACGAAAACTACATAGTTGAAAAGAATTTAATAAAAAAAAATTTAAAGAACTTTTAATAAGCCTATTACAAAATGCGCATCATTAAATTTAATTGAAATTCAAGCTTAAAATCATAATTACCCTGTTTAGAATTCAAATTTAAAAAACTGATTAGTTTTGTATTCTTAGTAATTTCAAATCAACATTTTAAGTAGATATACGTACACAAAAGGTAAGTTAAAAAAGCTATGATTTCTTTTTTCTCTTTTTTCTCCATGAGAATTGTACCCGCATAGAACAAACGACCCTGTTTTAGAGTCTGAAAACGACCCGCACTACCCCAAAAACTGGCGCCGGCCCGACTCTGTTTTAGTACTAATAAAAGAGTCGTTTTTAGACCGAAAAGACCCTGAATCCGTCTCTCCTCAAAACGGATGGGTGTCGGTTTACT